ATTAAACGTCAAATGCTTATGCTTAAGGGGATGGCTCATGGTACGACTTGTTAGTCCGACTTAATCTTGTACACCCTCCAAGGCTGAGTCCTGTGGACTTAGTATGCCTTCATCAGCCTCAAGAATACGGCATATTCGTTAGATTGGGCGCTGGCAGTGATGCTTACGGTGCAGTCCTCGGTCAAAAGTGCTATATTCGATGGTATTCGCCAGCGGGATGGGGGAAGATGCTCCTGCTGGATAGCCACGATGTCACCAACTCGAACATTGGGTTTCGGTCTTGCCCAATTATTTCGAGCCTGCAGTTGCACCAAATACTCTTCCTTCCAGCAAGTCGCTGATAGTATTTAAGACGATTATCTGGAGCCTATATAACGGCGGGTTCTGGACGGGAGTTCAAAGGTCGGCCGATGAGAAAACTGCCAGGCGTCAGTGCGAGACCACCATCAGGATCATCGTGGAGCGCAATTATGGGTCTTGAGTTGAGGCAGGCCTCAATGCGCACCAGCAGGGTACTAAGTTGATTAAACGTAAGTACGCTGTCTCCCACTACCCGTTTCAAGTGCTTCTTCGCCGAACGCACTGCCGCCTCCCATAAGCCTCCTTGATGGGGCGCGGCTGGAGTGATAAAGTGCCAGCGAACCCCAGCATCAGACAGTTGTTGTTGGGCGTAGGTACTTATCGATTCCGAAAGTTCGGATTGGAGTTGGCGGTTTGCACCTTCAAATTGTGTACCGTTGTCACTGTAAAGGTAGGTGCAATAGCGTCGGTGACTGACAAAATGATCAAAAACATTTAGAAATGCTCTGGTGCTTAGGTCTTCTGCCAACTCTATGTGCACTGCCCGTGTGCACATCCAGACGAAAATCGCGGCATACGTCTTGGTGGTAGCGAAGGAACGTTTGCCACCATGGCGGACCAGGAACGGCCCGGCGTAATCTAGCCCGGTATTAGAGAACGGGGGTGCCACTAAAACTCGATAACGGGGAAGATCAGCCATTTGTTGTTATTGCATGACTTGTTGCTGCAGCTTGCAGGTTCTACATCGATGTATGCAGCTCTTGACCAGGACTCGTGCGTGCACGATCCACAATTCTCGTCGTAAATATTGTAACATCTCTCTTATACCACCGTGCATGGTCATGCTGTGAGCATTTGTGTCTAATAGAGGATTGAGCGGAAGCAACTTACTCGAGGTCGGGACACTGTAAGAAGCTCGTAAAATATTTATCTCTGAAGCGTAAAAATTACGTTGTGCTTCGCGACCGTGGAGTATGAATGCTTGCTGGATTTCATTAGCCGTGATGACTGGCGTGTGCCAGTGCGATTTGCCAGCAGGTCGAAAGCGCAGAACATAGGCGGTGGTATGTAACACTCGTTGAATAGTGCTGAAACGTTCGACTAGTGGGATGAATGTTGAGTTGGAACCCAAGCCAATCCGTACTTGTAACCTTGGAGTCGTCAGGGTGCAGAGATGAGCCCGAACCACACGCAGTTCGGCATCATGCTCTTGCTGTTGCTTATCATCGAGTTGTCGCAGTTGTCCGCAGTAAAAATTTTGGTCGTAGATGACTTCTGGCCCCTTCCACCAAAGGGATAAACTACTTAGGGCTTGTGGCGTTATGCCGCGACTGGCGCAATCGGCGGGATTATCCTTAGTTCGTATATGATGGCAATGTGAAATACTGGAATGCTGCTGGATGTAAGCAACCCGATTCGACACATACTGCATCAGATTGCTTGGTGACTTACGAATCCAAGAGAGAACTATGCTAGAGTCGCTCCAATACATGCATTGGTCTTGGCTGAGCTGAAGAACTTCTCGAGCATTCACCATCGTAGTAACCAGCAGGTGTGCAGCGCATAACTCCAACCTGGGAATGGTTATAGCTTTCAGTGGACTAACCTTCGTTCGCGCAGTCACCAGCTCGGACTGTCCCATCAGTGTCAATACTTCGAGCATAAATGACGGCTGCATATGCCCTTTCGCTGGCGTCGCAAAACCCATATAGCGTTCTAATGGCAGACTTCGCCATTCCGATCCAACGAGGTATGCGGAGCTCCGCGACGGCTGGTATAGCGCTTCGAAATTTAAGCCATTTCTCGCGGAGTTGGGGTGGTAGAGGTGTGTCCCAATCGATCTTAGCCGCCCATGTCAACTGCATCAATATCTTAGCCTTCACTGATACCGGCGCCAAGAGTCCCAGGGGGTCAAAGATTTTAGCCACTTCGCTCAACACCTGTCGTTTAGTAGCAACTGGGATGATTGCGTCGAATCGTACTTGGAAAAAAAGCTCGCCAGTAATCGGAGCCCAGTGCAGGCCCAACACTTTCGCATCAGTTGCCCCTAAATTTAGCTCTGAACTTGACGACCCTAAGCCACATGTGAAAAGAACATCTGCCGCGTTCGAGTTCCACTTGCAAAGTCTAAACCGACCATGTTGCAATATCGTTGTGATGTCTCTAGCTAAGGTGGCAGCTTCCGATGGGGTATCCATGCTATCAAGAAGGTCATCCATATAGAAATAACTCAGAATACTATCTCGGGCCTGTGCCGCTCGAGCCTCATCAGGAACCGCTGATTGGTTTTCATTGGCACACTGCTGCAAGACGCGTGCCGCATTGAAAGGACTGCAAGCCATACCGTAAGTTAACGTCGTTAACTGATACACACCGAGAGGATCACTTGGGCTTTCCCGCCAGAAAATTTGCTGCCAACATCTATGTCTGGAATCAACTTCGATCTGCCGAAACATCTTCTCGATGTCAACAGTGATAGCTATACGGAAACGGATCCTGGATGGGCGGACCAACTAGCTGAGGAACGTTTAAGGAAACGCCATTGCTTGTCTTCGCAGAGGCGTTGAAAACTACCCGGAACTTCGACGTGACGGAATGGTGGGGTATATAATAAACTTGGGATGGGTCGGCTGGTTGCGGTGTTATCTTCTCCATGTGCCCGAGTGCCTCATAGTCGCGCATGAACTGAATATATTTGTTACGTAGCTCATCATCATTACTCAAGCGGCGCTCAAGATGGAGGAATTGGTTAAATGCCTTGACATATGAATTGCCAAGAGCTGATGCATTCGGTGAAAATGTGATTTGTACTACGTATCGGCCATCGCTCTTGCGCGATACCGTTTTACAAAAAATCTCTTCGCTAAGGTCGTCAACAGCTGGGGGTCGGCAAACCTCCTCCAGCTCCCAGAAACGTTGCAGTATCTGATCTATTCGCTCCTCTTCCGCGGCGAATTTCGGTAACGCGCGTAAAGTTGGAAGCGACTTACAGCGTGGGAACGCAGGTCCGCAAATGTCCCACCCCAGACGGGTGGACAGGGTGCACGGCTCTTTAGACCCACCAGAACATGCCCCAAATGTCCGCTCCAATGAGAACATCGATGCCCCCTGGAGTGTGAAACGTGGGATCGGCTAGTGGTATGTCTTGCAAATGTTGACAGTGGTTAATGTCTATTGGCGACGCAGGAATCTCCGAAGTTATTTGTGGTAGGATATGAGCTTCAAAGGTGCACTCAAACGTGGCATCGCGGTATGAGCGCATCACCAGAGTCGCCTGGCCACGCGACGAAGTCACCCTCTGAGAGCCAATTCCTTCTACCGTAAGCGTGTCCTCTGTGGAGACCCAAGTGGTTGAAAAATCGTTCTGTAATGAAGCTTCCCCCACCTTGTCTAAAAGTGGAGCTCTAGCTGTGGCCAGAAGGACGATCCCCTCAGATTGCGCCAGGAGAGACTGCACCGCATCTATGCGAGGAAAAACCTGTGACGTAATGGCGCCGACAGATATTTCAAATGCGGGGGCTGGTCGAGTTGCCGCGCTGGTGGTTGCAGGTAACTTCTCGTTGCATGAAGAAGCCTTACAAAGCAAGGTGTTGTGTTTCAGTTTGCAGTTGTGGCAGGTTCCTGAGCTGCACCCTCGAGCCGAGTGGCTAGTTCCGAGACAATTATAGCATAAAGATGCTTGCCACACCAGGTTCAAACGTTGATCTACAGTCAGTGCTCGAAATTGTGGACATCTTGACAGGCGATGTGGTTCCGCGCACCGTGGACAGGCCAGCGACGATTTCATGGTTGCGTTCGGAGACTTCGGGGTAACTACATGTGATTGTGCCATACGACGCGCTGTTGACGGTCGTAGTGACACATTAGGGTTGCATCTCAGAGTATCCGCGTAAGTCTCGATCTCCTCTAGCATTCTCTGCAGATTAGGTAATGTTTCGGCGTGGTTTAAAACCGTCCAGTGTGAGACAGCCGGAGTTGGTAGTTTGCGGAGGACTATGAGATAAACGATGGCATCCCATTGGTCTGTTGGCAGACCCATCACGTTCAGGGCACGTAAAGTACTGCGCACCACATCGATAACGTTGCGCTGCGTTAGAACTGGATGTTTCGGAAAGTCTAATAGCCTATACACGTGCGACTCAACCAAGCGCTGAGGATTATCATATCGCCTTTTCAACTCGGCCCATAGCTGGCTGTAGCCCCCGTGTCTACTCCACCAATCATGGGTACTGCCTGAGCGTCAACACATTGCCTCAATCGACTGAGTTTATAGCTGTCGTCAAGATCGGTGCGATTGAACACCAATGATTCGAAAATGTCTTTAAACATCAACCAGTTTTCCGGTTGACCATCAAATGCTGGGATCTTGACCGGATCCAAACGGTGCTCTGATTGGCACCGCACGGACACAGCATTCGACGGAGTGGTTACAGCAGTTCGCATGCGTTGCAGTTTGGTAACGATACTACCGTGGACCCTCTCCACTTGAGCAAGTAACTTGTCGTGTGCCTCCAATTCATCTGGAGTCGCTTCGCCCACTAACGCCAGGTGATTTTCCAAAAAACGGTTGTAGTGTCCAGATAGCGTGCTAATGGTGTAATCAATCTGCACCGTATCGGGAGCATATCCCTCAGCCTCGACCTCCGCCTTAATTCGTAAAATGGAGCTCCTTGCCGCAGTTCTCAAATTAATCGCTGCCATTATTCCGACGAATACCCTTTAATGGCTTGCAACGTTAGCACTTGGTCGCAATTGTCAGGTTCCTCACAGGAGGCACCAAAAACTGTATGCGAAAATGAAAAGATCGTTTATGATATGTTATACGCACCAAAAGCGAATGAGGAACTTTATTTTATTGGAAGTGCCCTTTATAGCAGCCGCTGAATGTTTTCCAAACGGTATAGTGGCGTGATTTCCTAACTCTATGTATTTTGCAAAACAATTGTATATATGTAAGATGTACAAAAGAGACTGTGAAAATTAAACGTCAATGCTTATGCTTAAGGGGATGGCTTCTTAGTCCGACTTAATCTTGTACAGAAGCTATGCTTATAGGATTAATTTATTTTGTTTTTGGTTGGGATATGGCAGATAGTAATATGAGGCATTAGTTTTCTTGTGGTCGGTATGGGTGTCGCCCTCGGGGCAACTTGGCTAGGGATGGGTTCGTAACTGTGACTATTGTAACGCAATAACGACGCTGGCGAGACTATTTGACTGACGGACCAATCCAGGCTAGGGGACTCAACTCTCGCGTACATAGCCACAGTGGGGTCCAAGGCTATTTGTGCTACAAAAACAGATGGGGTGGGATGGCTCCCCCTGACCGGACTGTTTTCTACCGCTTTGTATTCTATCCTCTTTTCATGTCCACGGTTTCAAGTCATGAAAGTTTTGTTGATGGCTGTAGGTTGGGAGTGGTGGCAAGAACCACGCCATAGGTCGACGAGCTCAAGCCACGCCTGCATGCCTGTTTCGCCACGACTTCCTTCCAGACCAAGCAGACATAACAAAGGACGCCCAACGGGGTCTTTTTTAATAACCCAATAATATCTTTGAATACTCCTTTTTTCATTACATCTTTCACTTTCAAGAGCTTTCCTGCCCTTTAAACTTTATTTATCACCAGTGATCGGACTTATACAACATTGTGGTAGATCTGCCACTTTTTTGAGCATCTACCGCATCTTCCACTCAAGGTCTGAAATCTACCACATCTTCGTGTTTTTGGGTAGTTTTATTTTTACTTAATTTTTACTTATTTTTCTTAATTTTAAGAGCGAAAATTGTCCAACACTAAACTCTATATGATAACAAGAATGATATAATACAAGATTCCGCATTCCCGACGACGATGAAATTTCTCAAGTAAAAGTAAACAAAGCCGAATGGGAGGGTAAAATAAACTGTAAAATAGTAAATTTTTTCAGTAATAAATTTTTTTTGTGTTAAATTAGAAAATATATTTTTTATAAAAAGAATAAAAAGCGAAAATATTAAAAAAACTGCAGTTTTTGTGAAAGTATTAGCAAATTTAATTGCATCTAAGGTTTCTGAGGCGTTGTTTACGTTTACTTGAGAATTGCCATTGAAGCTGGCAGCACTCCGCAAGGTTGCAGAAATCTCTTAAAATATGTTCTAAAAATATCTTAATATGGAAGGAACTGATTTACACTGTCAGGGCAAAAAATTGCCAAAACTCAACGCAATTTTTAGCAACTTCAATCTTTAATTATTTTATACTAAAATAACCTTTTTTTAGAGTCTAATTAAAAAGTTTACCACTAAGGTGAAACCTTGCAGAGTTTTTTTAATTTTTGTACAAAGTTTAATGAGTTTAAAGTAACCGGCAACGCTTCCAGGGATGGATGTTCAGGCCCTTTCTCTACTGTGGCGTGCTGGAAAGAAGATGGGGAAAGTTAGCGACACAGACATTGACCGGAACAATTGTACTTACGCTTCGTCATGGATACTCACGAAATCCGCCAACCGTTTTCACAACAGCCTCTCGTACCATATACACCCATAAGTATAGACACAGGAAACGAAAGTTTCGATAAATCCTAATAGTTTCCAATACTTAAGTTTATTCGAAGAATATTTTTTTTGCAATTACTGAGCTTTTTGATTGAATTGTAAGCACAAGGTGCATTTCAAATTGGAGTATCCTAACTATAAGTTTGGTGTGTTATTGAGCTTTTGTTGAAACTGAAGAGACCTTTTTTTGTTATATATACTTACATACTTACTTATATATTTCATATTTAACGATACTATCTTTATTTCCATAAATTACATTTATTCCTTTTAATAATTTACTGATAGCTCATACATACCTTCGATCATAAGATACATGTAAGTTTGAAGTTGAACCAATCCAATTGAATTGATCGAAGGGGTGAAATAATAAGCAAATCTTTTAAATTTATATATCCCATTTTTATACAAATTCCCGGTACTGTTGAGAAATTGGAAGCCACATGTTTATATATATATTCTTTTATTTGTACATCTCAACCGTTTGTAAAACAAAAATCCTTTAGAGGTGGTAGGTTGTTGAGTTAATTTTTGAGTTGTCTATGGTGAATGGAGAATCCCAAGGACACTAAAGAGGTATCACGAGCGAGATTAGGCATTTTTCCAAGCAATAGACCTGTGACCCGTAGTTTAACAAGGGATTTGGGAAATCAGGTGGTGGGTTCCCTCCTAACGCAGATAGATACAAGCATAGAATATCCAGTAGATTTTGTGCATGTTGGCTATTTGAATCGGTGCACTGCTAGGATCTTTGGACAACATCAAGCACGAGGAGTCGTTTCCCAAACTACTAACGTAGTAAATAGAGCAGAAAGTTCCCTAAGCTTCTCCAGGAAATTGGATCGCGTCCTGGTGATGTCTGAGCCTTCAGAACAACGTGAGATTTTAGAGGGGGCGGTAGGAGGAGAAATGCAGGAGTCCACAGAAGGCGCGGGTACAGAACTTGTACAACCTTGTGACAGAATGGATAAGACGAGTCAAATGATGGCGGTGTTGATGCAACAAAATGCGGTCATGGCGGAGTGCATGAACGAAGTGCGGAAAATGCGGACGGACGTATCGCAGTTAAGCAATCGGGAGGCACATGTAGAAGCCTCAATGCATGCACCACCAATAACACCACAAGCGGCGTCGACATCCACGCCAGTCCTGCAGGGAAGAAACGAAAACGGAGGTATACGAGAGGATAGAGGTAGAGCAGGTCGCGAAAGCACACGGTGCGGAGAAAGGAAAAGTTAGTTCGACACCTAAAGTTCGATGGTTCTAACAAAAGCATGACGATGGAAACTTTTATCTTCCGGTTAGAGCGTATGCGAGTACAGTATCAGCTATCTTTTGAGGAACTCCTATCTGATTTTCATTGCCTAGTCACAGGCCATGCACTTAAATGGTATTGGCAAGGCTTAGAGGACCACGCTGATGACAATACTTTCAACTATTTTCAGCTAAAGGCGGAGCTGCTAGCCCAATATAAATCGGCAGAGTCTGATTATGAAGTTATCCGCGAGATAAGGAAACAAAACAAGATCCGCAAGAAAGTTTTGATGATTTCTATGCGGATGTTCATGGTCAGATCCACCTAAGAAAGAAAATTCCCGAGGAGGAATTGGTAAAAATCATTAAGGGAAACCTTAAGCCCTACTTGACCAACCTCACCTTCCCCACCAAAATGGAAACTTTGGCCGATTAAAAATATGAATGCAAGCGAGCTGAGAAGCTAATCAAGGAAAATCGGTCCAGGGATACAGCGGTTAGTGAGCAAGGGAACTGCGATAGGGGCTGCTCAGATGAGTGGAGGACCGAAGGTGAAGCAGAAGTTAGTGCAATAAATAGGGAAAATAGAGGCCAGTTGGGGACCCACAAGAATACCTCGTATAACGCTACAAACCGTGGTCTGTCCGAACCCAATCCTACATCCTTCAACCCTACTCCTAATGTTAGTCATATGTCTAATGTCAGTAAGAGTGTCAATAGTGAACCCGAATCCCCCGGAACCATAAATAACAGTGAGAATAATAATGCTGGAATTAGAATTCTAAAGCGCGAAAGCGACCAAGTAGATTAGAAAATGAATAAAAATAAGAGTGGAAGTGATAATAAGACCTCAGGAGTTAGTTTACACTTGCGAAAAATAAGATACGACGAAGCCAGAAGAAACATATTTATGGAAGGAATTGAAGAGAAACGTAGGTCTAGGAATTATAAAAAAATACAAAATGCAAAATGCAAAAGGCATGAAGTCCTAGCATTACTCGATTCTGGGGCATGTGCTAGCTGCCTTGGAAAGGATGCGATGAAAATCCTAGAGGGAAGAGAGGGAGACATGTTGAAAATATCTGGCCAAAACATCCGCACCGCCATTGGAGCAGAAACGCCAGTAGTAGGGGTGATTTTGGAGGGCATTTGACATGAGTGTGATAAGCAGAAGTGTGAATAATTCTGGTTGTAAGAGGGTTGTATAAGAGCTCGTACCCTCCGAGGGTGACCCCACCTTTGAAGCGGTGCAACACATGCTGTCTGAAACACAAAACCAAAGATTGGAAAGGGTTAAGGCGCGATTACCATCTTTTGTCGTATTGGGCTTGAGCCGCACCGATGTTGAAGAACATTCAATCGAGGTAGTTGATGAGAGAACCCCGGTCAAGCAGAGACACTACCCCATCTCACCGGCCGTACAGAATTTGGTGTTCGCAGAGTTAGACCGAATGCGGGAAATGGGGGTTGTAGAGGAGAGCAGTAGCAGCTGGAGCTCTCCTGTATCTCTTGTGATAAAGGTAACTAAGAACAGGCTTTGTTTAGATGCTAGAAAGGTGAACGAACGCACCATTAAAGATGCTTATCCACTACCTCACATCGATGGCATTCTTAGTGGTTTACAAAATACCCGCTTCATTTCAGCAATCGACCTAAAGGACGCTTTCTGGCAAATCCCCCTAGACCCGAAATCGAAGGAGAAGACACTTTCACTTTTCATGGTAGACCCTTGTACCAATTCACTGTGATGCTTTTCGGTTTGTGTAATGCTGCCCAGCGTATGTGTGGTCTTATGGACAAAGTTATCCCAGCGGCTTTACGAGAATCTGTGTTTGTTTATCTTGACGACTTGTTAGTGTGTTCCGTAGATTTTGTTTCGCATATGTCACTATTGGAAAAGGTCGCCAAGTGCTTGCGTGACGTCAAACTTACCATTAATGTCGAAAAAAGTAGGTTCTGCTACCGCGAGGTACGATACTAAGGTTATGTTGC